TACCAATCTAGCTCCAGCGTTAGCTCCGCCAACCGTGCGCGCGGGAGGATCGGCTGCCATCCTTACCTCCGAAGAATTTATCATCCAGTTTTCCTTCCAAGAGTGTCTGGTGATCTAGCAGGGTTCCCTCTTCTTTCTCCTCTTGGGTCGGCTGGTGTTCGAACTGTGGGGCCCAACCCGTGCGGTCGCGTGCCCATCGCAAGTCTTCCTCCGAGGAAGCCTCTCCGTTGGTCTGCGCTGTCGCATCTTTCTCATCTTCCTTCAGGATGTCGGTCGCGGATCTTGGAGGGGGTAAATCGTATTGGTCGGGAGTGCCGTCGTCCTAAACAGCGTATTGAGTTAAGCCCATTGCCCCATAACCGTATCCCGCGAAGATGGCCAAACTCACCTTATCCGTGATAACAGCGACTCCTGTTGGTTTATGTTCGTGGTGAAATCCAGGGGGCAGCCGCTGCAAACGAAGACACCTGTCAGTTACCGGAAAACCTTGTCGATTGAGAAACGAAGGGGTCTTACAGCTCTAGCAGCAGCGGCTTTGGCCTCGGGAGACGCATCCGGGTCGAACTGGTAGGCTGGTACGCCGGCTTTCCGGGTCTCTTCGACTAGAGTCTTCTCGACATCCTCAGCGCGAATATCGGACTGAGGATCTTGTGCGGCATTTTGAGCCACCTCAATGGCACCTTGTTGCCGCAATTCGTTCTTGCTGCCTTCTACGTCTTGCGACGCCATGGCTTTTGGCGGGTGGGGGAATGAGGAGAAAACCTCGGGGAGGGGGATGGTGAAAGGTCACCTATAGCTTGAGTCCCCAAGCGGCACAATCTGAGTTTATAAGTCAATTGAAAATCTGTCGGGTGCAGCGTATGGTGGGAGACGGTGGTCAGAGGAAAAAAGCCATGTAGAAAGGAAAAAAAAAAGAAGTCGATGTAGCGGGGGGGTGGGAATTGACAGAGCGAAAGAAGCTCCTGTCAATGGGAGCGAAGCGACTTGCTGGCGCTCGTCCTTTGAGTGGTTGCCTTGGTCTCCGCGGCGGGGAGGTGGCTGAAGCACGGCAGCTGCTGTTGCTGCTGCGCGGGAGAGGAGCTACTCGGTGAAGGCTGGTAGGAGGTCCACTAAACCCCAAACCCAACTCAAATTTCTCAGGAACAACCAGCAGGATCCGTATCAGGAGTTGATGGAGTTGAAGAAGGGGAAGAAGGGGAAGGTGGGGAGAAATATTGGAAAGTGAACAAGGAGGGGTGAAGAGAGAATTAAATTAGGCTTGCTCACCTTAAACTGAGAAATGGGATGAAAGAACCGAAGTTGGAGAGGGGGAAGTAAGAAGTTACAGGAAAGAGGGGGAAATTGAATGATGAAATAGGAATACTAGTAGGAATACCTAGTAGGAATAGGAATAGGAATAGGAACCTCACAATGGCAGGCTGGCAGCACACAAAAGCGGCCGACGATTGCTGGTTGCTGGTTGATGACGAGCAGGAGATACGGAGTCCGGAGGCTTCCAGCGCGAACGGATTCAACTCACGGCGGAGCCACTTGCGTCAGAATTTCTACAGCTTTGTTGTTCGTATGCTAATAGCCAACTAACTAACTATTTATTGTTACGGACTACTCCTATACCTTTGTACTTTCTTCTTTCCCTGCGTCAATGACTTTGAATGAAGTTTTCCAGCTTCTCCCTCCTGGTCAAAATCCGCTCAATCTCAATTGAACCACCAGATCTGGTATAAAAAAGGACAAGTGCCAAAGAGGAGCCCACCAGCTCCGGAAAAGGAAGCGCGCCGATCACAAGAGAGGGAGAAAATAATAAGAAAAAA